TGAGGAAAAAGCAAATTAACATTTTTCTGCTACTAAAATAAGTGAAGGTATAATCTTCCTAATTAGTCTTCTCTGGAGCTGGGAGTTGTATTGTACAACTTTTATTCTGTAGTTTCTTTTTTCTGAGCATCATACTTCTTGTCTCACACCAAACCACAACTAGGTCACAATTTCATGCTACAATCTAAAATTATGGGTTTTAATTTTTTTAACAATCAGCCAGGGAAACCATAAAGAAAATCAATTTTATTATTATTCAGTTCTTACAGTTCTGTTGAAATTTGGATGATGTAAGACCGGCTAACGTCATATTTCATTGTTCAGCTCAGAGGTACGCACCAGCTCAGTTCAGAATAAGGGCTGAAAGTCCCGCTATCTGTAGGAAAATCTATTAGCAATTCAATGAAAATTCATTTACTGTCAACTACTAGCAACCTGTATATGTTGAGTGTAAGTGTTACTGACACCAGCTTATACTGTGTGCATTTAGCAGATAAGATCCAAGAGCTTCAAATCAAATCTTATTTGTATAGCGCCAAATCACAATAAAAGTCATCTCAGGACACTTTACAAAGTAAGGTCTAGACCTTACTGTTATCAATATTATTACATAGGGAAAACCCAACAAATCCCCCTTGAGCAAGCACTTGGTGACAGTGGGGAGGAAAAACTCCCTTTAACGGAAGAAACCGCCGACAGACCCCGGCTCTTGGTGGACGGCCTTCTGCCTCGACCGGTTGGGGTGAGTGGATAGAGGAGAGACAAAAGAAGAAAAGCAACAAGACACAATAATCAAACACTGATCAGGTCGATGTGGCTGGGGACTGCTTGTCAGGGACGTAGAGCTCCAGGGCCAGGGCAACCTGCAGAAAGGTACAGGGAGAGAGAGAGGACACACTACGGGAGAAAGGAGACACAAAGTTAGTAATGTGTAATGGTGGCATATAGAAGCATAGGGAGAGAGAGGAGAGGAGAGGAGCGGAGAGGATAGGGGAGAGAAACTCAGAGCATCATGGGCCCCCCAGCAGCCTAGGCCTATAGCAGCATAACTAAGGGAAGGCTCAGGGTCACCTGATCCAGCCCTAACTATAAGCTTTATCAAAAAGGAACGTCTTAAGCCTAATCTTAAAGGTAGAGAGGGTGTCCGCCTCCCAAACTGAGACTGGGAGTTGGTTCCATAGGAGAGGAGCTTGATTTGTAACTTGGTCTTTTCACTGAATTAATAATAATTAACTACAACTGAGAAAATGACCATGTCACTGCAGCCTGCATTTAGACACACAATGTACAGTATCACTAGATTTGTTTTGCAAAATTATTTGAAATTAAGTATTTAAAAAAATAATTTTGGGAAAGGCACTATTTTGTTTTCCTCTCAGAGTCAGATGAGAAGCACAGTCTGTAAAGTAAAAGCGCAGGAGCCAGAGAGTGGCTAAGCGAGGCTAACCACAACCCGACTCCAACTCTGTACTTCACGCACAGACATGAAGTTGATATTGATCTCATTCCACAGAAATTGAACATGTATGTCCCCAAATGTTGAAATATTCATTTAAATAAAGCTTTGATCTATTTTGAATCAAATAAGAATCTTCTACCTCCAACAGGAGCCCAATGACATGACACGGAGTCACCCAGAGGGGGCATACGCCAACACAATTCTCCCCAACCACCACCACCCTCACCCTCCCCACCATCACACCGGACACCATGGGGTGTTTGAGGATTTTGCTTGCTAGAGCCAACCATCGTTTCCAGTCCTGGTGACAGCAAAACATATGAGCTGTCTGTGTTGAGAATAATAACAGGTCCTTGGCATTTCCGTCGGTTGTTTGGTGTCACCAGTGAAAAGCTACAGCCAAAGTCAAACACCAAACCTGTGCTACTAACAAACCACTTGTACGTACGGTATGTAGGCACAAACTGGACAGCTTTCTTTCTTTCTCTCTCTCTCTCTCTCTCTCTCTCTCTCTCTCTCTCTCTCTCTCTGCCTGGATGGGCCACCTCTCCACTTTGTGCTGCTTCACGTGGGAAGTCAGGCACTTTATGATTTCAGGACCATTTTCATTATATAATCACTTCAAGGGAACAAGTGGAGGACTGCATGTCACCTTGATTCAGTTTATACTCCAAAAAAAGGAAAAAATGTGATTTATTTATTTGGCTAGCATCTCTGATTTTCTTCTTTTTATGTCGCTCCATTTACCTCTCCTCAAACTGTTCCTCTTTTTTCATGGAAAACACACTGTGCCACATCAAGCCATTATACAATATAAATTATGTAATTATTTAAAAGATGATCAATATATGTTCTATATTGTATACAAAATGAGAAAACTTCAGTAAGTAAATCTTATTCATGTTACATCCATCCATCCAAAATATGAGGGGAATTATTTAGGCTGAAATGTATGACCTTGGCTTAGAAGACCTAGCAGCATCTTTCCACGAGACACTGTGTAGTGGTTAAGGTGTTAGAGCGTAGCATTGTACTTGTAGATAAAGTCCAACTTTAAAATGAGAAAGTTCTAAAAGTTCTGTTTTAATGGTTGTTGTTTATATTCAGTTAATATATAACTTAATGATAATATAATAATTCGAGTTATTTCTACATTTTAGAGAAGATTTTTATATGGCAATAGCGATCACGATTATAGCAATTACTGTACACTTAAAATCTGCAGATATGTTAGACTGCCACGCATCAGTATGAGAGTGGACTGTAAGGATCACACATATTGTCTATTTCTTTTTAAATGTCCTGCTTTTTACCAAACTGTTTTGTTGTTATCTTAACATTTTCCAAGACAATACAAACATTGTCTTCAGTTATGACAAGGTTGTACTTAAATTTTTCTTCCTATCCACCGTTCACTCTTTACTTCTGTTAGCATCTTAACTTTCAGCTGACATAAGCAATAAGAGACAGAATTTAATTTTTGGCCAAGTCATCTCATTCAGCTGTGGGTCAGAACCACTGTAGAGGTGTATTTCCAGTGTGGCATCAGTGTGTGTGTGTGTATGTGTTTGCATTGTCACTTTAATATTTTGCACACATGACTGAGCACATTAGACTGATGGGCTCTGCTGAGCTGATCCATAGAAAAGGTGTTTTTGGAATCAAAATAGTTAACAAGAAAGTGAAGAGAGTTTTATGACAGTATTATGGTTTTTATCCAATAAATCCGGTTCCAGAGCTGCAGAGAAGAGCGACGTGAACAAACAGTGACATGGAGGCTGAAATTTCTTACTGGTTTACTTAAATTTGAAAGATCGCCACAGATTATAAGAGCACAAGTGAGCAAAGTGGCATTGAAAATGGAGACCATTGATTCATTCATAATATTATTTATCATTAGCATGGAAGAACTTTGTCTGTTGTGTGAACATAACCTGTTTCAGTAACACCAGGCTTCCCATAACCAGATATTTTATGAACCTGTTGGTTCAACAGCCTCATTTTTACTGGAAAAGGGTTATATAATTTGCTCTGAGACAAACAGCAGTGGAAGAAGTAGAGCATAAATTGATTGTATTTCACATTTATGCCTGCTCCAGGGAACAGCTGGGACCAGTACTAGCCAGATGGCGGCCAAAATGGCTTTGAACCACTTCATAGTTTTGCCAAAATGTATTTCCAGGAACTTTTCCCCAAAACAGGCAAACTATGGACACCAAAGTAGAACTTTTGATGATGGCTAAATGTTTCACTGATTTTGTGCAGTAGAAATGGCTATACAGTAGGCGATTATCCTTATTTATCCTCATCCTTATTAAGTATCAGTTGGCTAGTACTGAAGACTAGCTGGACAAATTAGTAACTAAGCATAACTTGAAATTAATATTTACATAACTATCAAGAGTAAACTGGGCTTTGTAGAATTTTTTTTTTCTTATCCTTTTGCCTTCATCATTATGCTTCAATCTAAAGTTGTTTACGATACAATCAGACTTGTCTTTTGCAAATATTTGTTTGGCTCATTGTTCCTTTTCATTGAGAGCCCTGAGAAGGTATTCAGAATGATGATAACTGCTCACCTGTATAATGTTGCTTCATAAGTGTGTATAATTTCTGTTGTACAATCATCCACTTTTTATATTGGACTTTGTTAAGATACAGTAAGTGCAGCATAACAGCTAACTCAACCTGATTCATGTGCAGAATCACAAGATAGATTTTTATACAAAGTGTGAACAAAAGCTGTTGGACTAATTCTAGAGTTATTGCACAAACGCGTGGCAGACAATGCACTCAATGTTTGTCTGGGAAATTTATGAAGTACTTCACATTACAGGATATCATGTTTACGCATGGCAACATAATGTGCCTGTTAATTTGATTAGTGCATCCTGTTGCCGCAATATTGCTGTACATCATTTTTGCTCACAGTGAGATTCCACAGTGCTCCATCTGTCAAATCCCCTCCTCCTGTCAAGTAATCATGAGCTATACATGGCTGTTTAATATTCATAATCATGTGTCACTCTGACATTTTCAAAAGGTTCCCAATCACAGTCTCTGATGGCATCCTGTGCAGGCTATGCATAACAATCTTCTCCTCTGTCATCAATAATTGTAGCTATCCTCAGACAAGTCACACAGGGGCTGGTGTGCTGAGATGAATACAAGGCTGAATTATCAGGGTAGAGTTTTGTTTCAGTGGTAAAGCCTGGATCTGTGCAGAGACGTTCATTACCCTTGAAATGCTCTGTTTACCTGCACTAAAATGCAAGATGGTTAATTCTGTATCCCAAAGCATTGAAGAACAGATTAAAAAGAGTTGACTTTACAACAACAGTCTATGTGAGGTGCCACAGGACTGAGCAGTGGGCGGCAGATCCACAGCAGATGGGACAACTTCCCTGCTTGACAACATGTAGCTCACATTCTTGAGATTCTTTGACCCTCTATTCTGAGCTCCCTTCTTGCAGAGCTCTGTGGGTCTATACCTTTTTATAGCACCATGACATTCAGCCTGTGTGTGCTTATTACATTATACATGAAAATCAATTTAATCCAATAGCCACCGATGTTGTTTCAAATATCCACTGTTTTATCTCTTTTTTCCCAGTAGATTTTTTTTTTAGCTAAGGCCGGAAAGGTCATCAGAGAAGAGAAAAATTGCAGACAAGCACTGTCAGGAATTGATGTGAAGAAATTTCATCCCATATCTCACAGACATGGACATGGACATGGACCATCACTGCAGCAACAAGGGATGCTTACATTTTGTACAGAAGTGTGATCTTGTGATTATTTCCTCTGTTAGGACACATTTTATAAATGTTAAATATGGTCAATACCATGACTATTAAAGTTTAGATAAAATTAAGTGCCTCCTAAATCCAGACCCCAGTTCACTTTGTAACTCTGTTGTCTTTTTTTTCTTTAAAGTCAAAATGTATTTGTTTTCCCACCCATTTTAAAGCCTTTCCATCTCTGACAAACATTTTAAAAAGTCATTAAAATGTATTTACAAGATTACAAGAAGACTGAAGGCATTTCAGAGGTTAAGTGGGGAAATGTGGGACAACACAGGCTATTTGAAGAAGCATGAATGCCTACTACAAGTGAGTTCTTAATTTCTTATTTAGAAAATCATGTTATTTTGCTTCAAATGTCCAATGTGAACCCAAATGGTTGTGGAAAAAAAGCAAAATTTTCCTCATACCAGTTTCTAGAATACTTGAAACAACTCTGGCTCAGTGTGGGAGGAGAAAGTCATGGAATTGAACGTAAAACAAAGCGCAAAATAACGACTTACAATTAACTCCCAGCTGCTCTGTACTTACATGGTTTTACCACATGCCTCTGGGTAGAGCATATGGATCCCTGAAATAACTAAAGCTGTAATTAAGGTTTCAACATTTTCCCTGTTTTTACCCAGCCGGTCCAACATGAGGAAGAATGTTAACTGCAGACCCACTGAGCACAAGCTGGGAAAATGAATGAGGTAAGGTAACTATACTGTCTATATTAGCAATTGGATTTATAAATGTTCAGTAACGCTGCTCACCTCAGCAACCAGCAGCCAGTACAGCTCTAAGACCTGCTGTAGACAGTAAACGTGCTCTTCTGCTGACACCTAAAGGACAAGCTGGATGTTGTAACTGCAATACAGAACTTACTCTTTTATCTTATAAAACAAATACAACAAAAGGAGGATGTCTTTATATTCAAATATTCTTTATTTTAAAATTATTACAATTCACAGTTCATTAGGAATTATAGTATACAAATGTTCTGAGCATCAATTAAAATCCATTGCTTTGGTCATACTAAATACCCATATGCATAAAATAATGCAAACCAGTGGGTCCAAACATCGGTGAAAATCAAAAACATAAGTCTATGGCTGCCTTTTGAAACAAATTACTTGATTTAAATTGAAAATTAAAATACATATTTGAAAAAGTCTTCAAGCACAAAATACAAAGTACAGGTACAGCATGTTTGATCTTGTCACCAAAAATAATAAAATAAATCGATTGCTGTGTAAAGCTAAAAAAAGGCTTAAAAAATTGTCTATAAAATATTTATACATGTACAGAGAATGTCATGAAAGCCTCTGTTGCAGAAATATTTAAATCTGCATAAATCATGAAAAAGTGATAGATAAATAAGTTGTGGACGAAATACTGAGGGACTTTGCTCAGTGCTGGTGGCTGTATTAACAAAGTGGGGCGATTAATCTGCCACAACTTCATACTGTATTCTCAGCCATCCATCTTTCACAGTGGTTTTTGGAAGATTTGGTTTTAATTCTGCACATTATTAGTGTCATACTCTTCAAAAAAAATCAAGGAAAACATTCATACTATGTTAGCTGGAGCATAGTCACAGCAAAAGACTGCAAGTCAGGAAAGACATGCGCTATAAAATGAATGCAAAAGGTCAACAAGAACTGACCTCTATGGTCTGTGTTCATATGGCAGAAAATACAGCAAACACTCCACTGTAGATGTAGAGTTTTCAATATAAAAAGAACTTAGAGCCTTAATCTTGTGTATTTCAAAGTACATTTGATGACAGTGTCAGCAAAACACATTAAAGCTCTTGTCAAAAGAGATTACAGTGTATTTACTTACCATTAAACAGCATTTGGTAAGTTATGTAATGTAATGAGCAGTATTGTAGTATACAGACTACTGTACTTGCAGCAAATGCCTTTGAAATTAAAAGTCGTGTCCTCCATCAGACATCTGTCCAGTTGTGTTATATGTAATATTGCACAATATAATCTACTAATAACTTTCTGGTGTCAAGTACCACTAGTTTCACCACTACTCAATAATGGAGAGGAGGCCTCCCACTGGATTTCACTGTGACTGCAGGAAGGCAGCCAACTCAGTAAATGGAGAACAATGACGCCATTCACTACCTTCCAAAATCTTTAAAAATACAGTCTAAAAGACTGGAACATATCCGTCTACACTTGTTGACTTTGGAAAACGTGACATACATTCTTAATTTTGATCCTTTCTACAGTAAGTAAATTCTGTTTTAAAGTATCACTCCAGTGAGGAAAGTGAAACACTCCAGACATTTACTATGGTGATGTTCACCAATATTCACAACTTTCCTTTGCCTCCTGCATGCAAAATGGAAAAGATTTCAAGAAGAAAATGTTCAATTCAGATATATGATGACCTGAAGACCCACACTGCGTAGTTTCCAGGAACCCATTCCCTGCTTTGAGGCACATAAATTGTGAATAGCTGGGATCAGTACATTTCCAAGCCACCTACAAAGAAATGTGAAGTTATTCAACAACCTACATCAGTTCTCCCAGCTATATAACAGACTTTAAAGAATAGTGAAAATAATTTCCCACCCATTCAAAACTGTTATTCATTCTGAAGCAATACCAAAATCTAATGAAAAATATAGAGTGTGCATCACCTGAAGAAGTGAACAGCAAAACTGCATTAACAAAGATACTTTCAAAACAGCATTATGAAACATCAGTGTCAAGGCACATATACAAAGATGCACTTTTGTACTACAAGTACTCAAAATCAGTAAATATCAAAAGCTCAATGTTTCATTGCTCTTATGTGAAGGGACAGACAAGCTGTGGTGCAATAAAATAATGCATATCTATTAGAATTATATGTCGAAGTTCTATTTAAAAATATCTTTGATACCAATATTAAATCAAATCACATTCTCAAATGTGAGAACAATGCTGCTAGTACTTCTGATCCCACTGAAAAGCAACAACCCACTAGAGTTTTTAATGACTAACTCATTTTGGTTCACTTGCTTTAACACCCCACCGTTCAGAGAAAACGATGTGCTGCTGTAAACAGCACACTGGTTCAATCAAGCCTATTGTACGCAAAAATTGTACAGAGTGATGTATTTAAGCAGAAAATTCCACCAAATGGTGGGCTGACTATGCAAAATTGTACAGATCGATGTATTTAAGCATAAAATTCCACCAAATGGTGGGCTGACTAAATCGCCCTGTGTCTGCTAGAGGCTGGATGGACACCTTAATTTATAACAACCAGGAAAGCCAGCAGTACTTCAAAGATCTGTTGCTTTGAGTTACTGTCCTCTAGTGGTCAAAAGTAGCTTAACGCAATTGTAAGCGTAGCAATAAGATTTGGTTCTAGATACTCATCTCCATGGATAAGTACTGTAAACATCTGTTAAAAAAAAGTTTCACTTGGAAAAAGCTGCATTCATTTATCCAAACTAGCTAAAAACTCGTAACAAACCAAATACTTCTCGATGTAAAGTGGAAGAAGGAGAATATCAAACAGTGTCAGACACAGTTTGTAACTACAGCCCCATACATTGGTTCCAACAAACGCACACCTTTTAATATCTATTTAAAAACATGCAGGAGCAAATCTTTCACGGGTATTTTCAAGTGCTGTTTCCTTGCTCTTGCTCAAACAGCTGCATGGCCAGCTGGGAGCGAGAACCGAGACCTTCCAAGTTACTCTGAACACATCTGTGATAGATGTCTTCACTGAGTCGTGGGTTGCAGGCTTGGTAGCGGTACTGCTGGTGCAATGCTGGTTCCACTGCCCTGAATACATGCAGACCCGAATACTTTACAAATATGTCATAGATGTCCATTGTCTCTAGAATGTCCTCATTCTCCTGGACGTCCGCCGCCATCCGTGTGCGGGTTGCCATGTAATCCGAGTTGTAAAAACACACTTCTTCAAATGCCCAGCGGTCAAAATGGCCTGCATCCTTGACCAGGTCGACTATGGTAGGATGCGGCTGGTTGGGATAAGCCACATCCGGGTTGTAGTTCTGGAAATGAATGGGGAAGAACACCTGCCAATTGTTTATGGAATTCATGCGGCGGCGGTTCAGAAATTCAGAACTGATATTTGTGTTGACATTAGCCAAGAAGAACAGTGTGTCAACCGGGTGCTTCTTCGAGATGATGTCCATGAACTTAATCGAGGACGGTGTTTCCGTCTTGACACTTATCCATGGGATTTTCACTGTGGGGTATTTGTGCTCATAAGAATTAATCTGAGCCTTCACACCAGCAAATATATCATTCTGATTAACCTGCTGGGCCTCCACTGGGTCATAAATAAACAAGAATGCCAGGATAGCATTTTCACTCGTTTCAAAGGCATTTGAGGCAAAAACTTCAAGGAAATGATCAACAAAGCTCTGGTCCTGCCGAGTAAGAGGTATAATGATGTGAACCCTTGTAGCTTCAGTGACATAGGGCATGGGGATGATCTCTGTTTGGCTCAAAGGTCGCACCAGATGAACCCTCTTGGTGATGGAACGGCTGTGACCTTTCTGGTTAATCACCTCCAGCTGAAGGTCCAAGGTGTACTCCATGCCCCTGGTGGGGTCAAACCGCCTGTAGCCATTAATCAACTGCTGCTTCTTCATATGTAAAATGGGTCTGTACTTCTTGTTCAGCTCTCCTATGGCTGTGTCAATGACATCAGCCACATCCATGCGGTCAATGCCGTGCAGCTCACACTTGGGTGAGCCATCGATGCATGAATAAATTTCCTTCTCTGTGAAGTATTCCCACTTCAGAACTTCAAACCGAGATTTGGGCTCAAAAGGTGGATTGATCCCTACTGGCCACTGGGCGATTCGGTTTCCTTCAAAAGCAACCACACTCACGTTCTTTATTTCTGCCTGTGGGAACACAAGATGTTTTCAGACCTATACAGTTATCAACCTGCCACTGACACAACTAACACTACACTAGAATTGTGATATTCTGAACATATAATAGAAGTAAGCTAAAAGAGGCCAGGTTTTTATTTTTGACTAAAAGACAAGGGATTTGTAACACCTGAAAATTAGCTTACCTGCAACTTAGCAATTTCATCATAGGTCTTCTGGAGTTCAATCTCTGTGAAGTATCTGTGCAGCTGATACATCTGTTCAGGGTCAGACACTGGATGGACTGTAAGAGCCTTCTTGAACTGTTCACTCTGTTCCTTACTTAGATCCGACTTTTTTCCCAGTTCATAATGGTGGTATTGAAGCCCCTGAGAAGAAACAGTGCGGCCTTTTCATTAATCATCTCAAATCTGGCAGAACAGAACCATGCCTGTTATTCCCATCTTACTTATTATGCTGCACTACTTCCATTCAACGATATATTATACACTATCCAGGCAGCATCTTGTTCCACTACAAAAATGCTGTTTATTTCATTAAGAACAGAAAACTATTGTTATATTACAACTTTTAACTGACGAAATTCAGCCATTTTCAGGAACAACTTAGATTTGTTCTGGGAATTTGGTATTTAAAAAAGTGAATCCAATTTGATGAAGCTAAAAGAACAAAGAACTGAGACACTACTTAACAAGGCAGCGATGCCACTCTGCTGCAAATGTTTGCAAACAGCCTACACCCTGTAGTTGACAGTGAAGCACTATCCGTTCCTAATTGTCATCCTTGTACTCTCTAACCAGACAAATTGATGCCTGGCTCTGTGTTCAAGCTGTTTTCTTCACCCTTTTCACTTCCCCCTGCTTCTCCCTCTTATCTTGGTGGCTTTGCTGGAATTCTTCTGGCTCGGGGCACTTCAGTTAACCGTGCAGCTCACTCTCAAATGCGAAACACGATGGTCTGCTCCTCTGGGTCATGACCAAAGAGGACTAAATGGAAACTAAACACACCACAAAATCTACAAAGTCAACAACAAAATGTATGCCTTTATGTACATTACAGTATATGAATAGTAAAGGAGCATTTTGTTATAGTTTATTAATGTGTGATAAAATTTAAAAAAAAAAAAGACTACAAACTTTAGCATGAGGGAAGCAAACTGTACTTAATGCAACAAATAATTGCCTCATAGGGTACCGGGACAGATCAAGGCTCCACATAGTTTGTTTGACCTTAAATGCTAATGCCATTACAGGAGCAGAACATGTTGACCTACAGAGGATTTTCACTCCATTGAAGGCTGAACTCAGCAATGCTCTGCTTGACTGTTTACCTACATGTTGCTGCTGGAGCCATGAAGAAAAAAAAACTAAAGGCTAAAGGGGATTAGCAAGCTACTCTCTAATATAAATACCACTCTGTAGAATGGCAATTACCATTTTATATCGCTGTCTGTCACTTTTAAATGCTGTCCCAGAGGCAAAGCATGATTTCTGCCATGACAGTTTTGTTTTTCTGGAAAACCCTGCTATAAGCTGCCACAGAACTGTTCTGAATGGCAGTCTTTGAAGCCCCTCAATCATTTTAACTATAAGCTGCTTTCTTTTCTTTAATTTATGAAACATTAAAAAGTCAAGAAACAGCTTATAAAATGTCTTAGTACAGATGGAAAACAGAGCTGTATGCTGAAGAATACACGGAACCAACCTCATATTCACTGACACAATTTGTCTTGGTGTAATCAATGATGCATCTCCCGAGCCACTCATCAGGCCTGGCGCTCAGGATGTCATTCCTGCAGTTTTCCAGGAAGGGCTGGAGTCGCAGGAGCAAGGCACGTGACAGGAGGTACCCAAACCCTCCATAGCAATACTTCCCTTCCATCTCCCCACCTATGAATTCCTCAGGACTGCCTATATAAAGCTCTTGATCCATGCTCAGGTGATCCACCAGTGCTTTGATCCTATCAGCTTCTGTGTAGGTGTCATCTTGGACGAAGTAGAACCAGTCATATTCATTGATGTAATGGTCTAAAATATATCTGATGGTCTGAAACATGTTCCAAATGTCTCTCTCGTCTCCATGAGAGACCACAAACATGCCATGAGGGACTCTGCGATTGTGCATGCCAGTGAAGAAGATCACGCAGTCCAGGTGATGGCTAATGGTGCGATTGACAGCTACGCCCAGGGTGTTAATTGTGTTTCTGGATGTAAGGACCCCGACAAACAGACGCTCTCGCATACCCAACTCTGTGCTTATGTATTTAGCCCTGAAAAAGACAAACAGCTACTGATTAAATGTGGCTTTGAAAAACAATGTAACACAAAAGAACTTGAAGACAAACTTTAGCCTGCACTAGAAAATTCTTCAGCTTATTGACACACCAAACACCATTATTTCAGCCATTCTGTAACACCCATGTTTAGTTTATTAAATGATCTGATATCAATAGGAATAGTTTATAAAAGACAGACATTCTGGATCTGTTAAGGTTTAGTCCCCCTCACCTGGAGGGTGAGGGAGAACTGGGTTGGACTCAAGATGGCTGACTCAGGTGCTAGTACAAAAAAGGTGGTTTAATGGAATAAAAACAACATGACAACATAACAGGGTCCATAATACATACAAGGGAAGGGCAGTGATGACTAAGGAGACCAGGACGGTAAACACACAAACTAACG